CTTTTATCAGGTGACCCAAAATTCATGCAAGATTTAAAATTTGCGCCATTTCTGCAGTAAAGTGTTGCCAATGAGAAAAAAGACAGCTGATAGTACAGGGTTATGAAAAATGGAGCGCTACAAGAAAGAATAACGCGTTGAGCAATATTTTAAAAATAATGAAGGTTTCGTAGCTACAATTCGCAATTTTGATACAAAATATGTCCGAAATAGTCTTCATCAACTGCTAAGAGATTAATTTGAAAAATTCAGGGGAACAGGATCAACTAGTTAAACACTCTTGCCGTCCTTCAACAAGTCGTTCAACACTAAACATCGAAGCAGTTCGTGAGATTGTTGCTGAGAATCTGGGAACATCAATTCGGCATCTTGGTCGAGATTTGGACATTTTGATAAGCTCTCTACAACGTATTCTCACGAAAAACTTGCATCTTCATGCTTACAAAGTTCAATTGCCTCAAGAACTGAAGCCTACTGACTATGCAGAACGAAGAGAGTTCGTTGGATGGATTATGGAACAAGTGAACGCTGATTTTTCGAACAAAATAATCTTCAGCGATGAAACTCATTTTCATCTTGGTGATGATCTTCATTATCGACAAAATTAACGCATATGCGATTCAGAGAATCCACGAGTGATCATTGAGAAACAAATGTATCCACAACGTGCGGATTTTGGGCTCGAAATTCTTCTTAGAAAATGCAGCTGATCAGGCAACAACAGTTAATGGTGCTATCGCAAATCGCACGATATGGATGTACATGGCATGTGGTTTCAACAAGACAGTATCACATGCCATACAGCCCGAGAAACAATTCACTTACTGCGGGAATCAATTCCTGGTCGTGTAATTTCCCGTTTTGGTGATCAGCGTCGTTGGACTATTCCTTGAGATTTTTTAAGTCTAGGCGTATGCCAACAAGCCCATGATCACCCACGCCTTGAAGGAGGAAGTTAAGGGCTACTTATTTCAACGAAATTCTGCCGCATTTATGCAAAACGGTCATGGAAAATTTCGAAAAAAGAGTGCGTATGTGCCAGCAAAGTCGTGGAGTCCATATACCCGATATGACCTTCCATATGTAACCCTATATTTACTGTATACTTTAGTATTCAAAGTTTACCATTTTTAATGAAAAACCTCTGTTTTTTATCAGATTTACTTCTTGCGTGTATTTTGGGATACCGTTTCCATTAATTTCTTAATAAATTATTTTTATCTTATTTTTTAGCAATGTATGAAAGATTGAGGATAAAAATATTAAGTTTTTAATATTTAATATAGCATCCCTCATTGTCCTTATGCATGATTTTATTTATTAACCTCTACAACATAGCCAATTAAGAGGTTACATGAGCAGTTAGTCTAGAGGAAAAGCAAGACTACCCTTGATTTTATAATGTATTATAATGAATTTAATTATGTAGCGTGATTAGTTAATATTGTTATTTTTAATATTTTGAGAAAGAGGAAAAAGGATAGTTTCGATAGTAAATTGTTTAAGAAATAATAAACATCTTTGGATGCAAAAATTTTTTTTATTCTGATCGCTCATTTAAAATTTAAATTGCACAACATTCCGATTCACACAACTTTTAGCAGCTCGTTTTTTCAAGGTCTAGGTTTTAAGTAAATTGTGATTTAAATATTCTGAATATATATTACAAAAATGATGACTGTGAACGTGTATCACCCACATGTATATAATCTTTACATAATTAAAATACCTACTAAATTCGGCAATATCGGCACGTTCTTTATTTTGAAAGGAAACAATTTTATTTCATTATGTTATCAGTAAAAACTAAAACCATAAAACGTTTGTTTCTACCTGGTGCACAGCATAGTGCACTATTGTTAATTAGACCGTAGTACGTCCTCTACCGACATTACGAAAATGAGAACCTGTCTTGAATTGCTATCAAGATCACGTTTGTTGGAACAAGAATTACAAAACGTTACACGCTCTATCATTGTCATTATGAATATACAAATAGGTTAAAAGTATTTTTATACATTTGCTGCTTCCAAGGCCTAGGTCATAATCGGAGAATTTTGATGAGTTTTTTTATATTTAAAAAGTTTTTAACTATTTGGTCCAATTTGAATTTGTTATTAATTCCTTACTAAAATAGATTCCGATTTGTTTTAAACGACACACCTGTTATTGATAGATTCGTTAATATTGTTTTCTTGTATACTGCAAAACATTATTGACAATTAATGTAAAAACAATGCAAATTGAATTGCTAAATCAATGTTTTCCATTCATTCTTATTACTCATTGCATGGATAAATAATCAATGTTTTTTTAATGTCATGACTTTATCAAGATATTGTCTCTGTTTATCTTTTTTAGTTCCTTTTCAAAGGTGAGCTGTAATGGGCAGACACTGTATGCAGTATGGTCTTTAAATATGTTCAGGTAATAAAGCTATGATTCCGAGTTGATTCTTGGGATGATTTTGAGAGATTAGTTTAAATTAAACAGAGTAGTTTTCCAGATATACAGTGTATCCAAGATAAAGATGGAATAGCATTAGAATCTAAGAAACGGTAAAAGATACGGGGTGGCTCAAATTAGAAAAAAAGTTGTGTTTCTTATACCTAACAATATGCTGTTTAGAAATTTTTAAAATTCCGGGTAGTTTCGGAGATATCCGGAAAATCTCGAAATTTTGCAATCTTCGGTATTTCAACATGTTGTTCATCATTTAGAACTCGGAATAAATAATCATCTCTATAAACTTGATCCATTAACTGAAATACCCATTTATGAAAAGTCATGGTTTCTTTGGAACCACATTGTATATCCAAAAATTTGTATAGCGTGTTTATAGAATTCAAAATTTCTTAGCCGATGACTTCTCTGGATTTTTAATGATTACACTGTATTTAAAATTATATTTACAAGAAAGTATTTCCGTATTTTTTGTATTATATTCAATTTATTAACAGTGTAATAGAAATATTTTATAATTAAACAAATAATATCTGGAAAATTACTCGTTTTCCGGTAAAATAAAAGTGGCATTTTTCTTAGAATACGCCAATGAATTGATCGGACAGATTAAATTTGTAAAATTCTCGGTGTCAAAACTATGGGATTATTAGTGAAATATTTTTATGTATGATATAAATAATCAAAATTCTCGATTAAATTATTAACGCAATAATACATATCGTGTAGCAAAGTTGACGTCGGGTTGAAATTCAAGGAATGTCACACTGACAATCAATTTATTTTGTGACATTATTTCCAGTATCTACGTCACTGGTTAATAACTGACTACATAAATACAGTGAATTTTTACCTCAATTTAGTTGAGTCGCTAGTTTTTTAACTCCTATTAATCTACGTAGAATATCTGTCGAGATATTTGCGTATTTCTGCCTTTTTTTAAAACATTGTGTACTGTAATCTAGAAACAAAAGCATATGTTCATAGAAATGTTTTCTTTGAAATGATCTAAATCGTTTCCTTTATTATCCGAATGTAATTAAAGATTACCTTCTATGTCTATGTATTTATATATTTTTGAAATATTGGAAAGAACCAACTTGTATAAAATAATATACCTATATTTTAGTACCTTGTAATTGAAATGAGGAAGCTAGTATGAATAGGAAGTTGATTGTAAATATTCTGAAATAGAACCATACCCCTTTAATTAAAAGAAAATAAAGTCACTTTAATCTTGAAAACTAAAATTGCCATATGTTTTTAATAAATGCCTCTTTCTGTTTTTCTTTTATTTTTAATAAAAATATGGAAATAGGGAAATAGCTAGTAATCACTAAACACCAACACGTTGTTAAGGGAAAGTTATAACAATGACCTTCTCCCATTCAACGAACTTGTGCAATAATTGAATTTTTTTATGACATATTAAGAAATAACTTAGACAGCACCAAGTACCATGTCAGAGTGTAAGTGACCATAGCGAAAAACTATAGCTTAATCATTCTCGATACCCATTTACTTTGAACGACATTTTTGAAAGCACATTTTTTGAGGAATATGTAATATCAGTCCAGTGTCTGCTACATTTAGCAATAAAATAAGCAACCGCTAGGTCAAGTTGATGGCTTGTTAGTTTAGGATTTCAAGGTTTTATATTTTAAAGAGTATTTAATAATTATAGTATTAATTGTGTTGACTAGTATAATAAATGTGTATTTGCTGAGTACATCGACACCAATTTAGATAATAACTCAATTCAATTTTTTTATAACAGAACTTGTTTCTTCAGACACGGTTTCGTACAATTTTTATATAAATAGATACCTAATAGTAATAAAAAGCTTTATTTAGATAACTAACTCGTCTCTAGACTTCCCTCAGGCAACACATTAATATAAATAATTGTTGAAATTTTCTTTACTCATTTATGAGAATAATTGTACTAAATTAAATAGGGATTAATTTATACAGGATGTTTCAGGAAAATGTAGCTGTAATAATACTCAATTTTTGTTTTTTTCCTAGAAAATCCAGTGGTTAAACTATTTTTGGGCCGAAGTAAAAAGCGTACAAGGATATCATATTAAGATTGACCTAAAATCATCCTTGCAATGTAAAGCCCTATATAACTTATTTAAAAATTGCTGGAAGCAAGCTCTTTAGATTTTCCCAAAAAATATGCCTATTCATTAAAAACAAATACTAATAACAACACCTTGTTGTCTTGCCTGAAAGGGAAATAGGATAGACACAGTTCACGCAAATATTTGTTATTTTTAATACGCTATTACTTGTAGGATAGTTAAACGAATTATGATGTCACTGTTCTGCCTAAGCAACGTCTTGTTTCAATTTTTCGGAGCAGCTATGCAGTTAAATAATGGTGTTCCATCACTTACCCCTTTGACAAGGTATCTCCGAGTTACACAGATAAATAAAGCACACTATCTACACACTATCTAGAAAACTGCACACTATCAAAGCTTTGTTAGATAGGCACAGGCACTGTATTCCTTAAGAAAATCGGTACCCACCTGTCACAGCGGCCAGTATTTGGGGAAACGTCCCTTGGAACTTGTCGGTCACACTGTTAGGGAACAGCATTCTGCAGATGACTGAAACAGTCCGTTTCACGTGCAAGCTTAAAGTTATTGTGGCCGGCTTGACCTTCAGTGTCCTGAAAAAACCTGTCTCGCAAGAATGGGAAGCAGTAGCAGAGTAGGAATTCTTCAAACCGCTGCTTCCACAGACCACAACCGCCTGCGAACAGCTTTGGAGTTGCTTGTGCCAATTAATCGTGTTCCCAAAGTGTAATTATTTGATTACTGCACAATGTTTTCATATGCGTTTATATACACTGTGTCCCAAAATGATGGAACAGAATTAATTTTTTTCCAGTTCAGACTTTAAAAAATAGTTGAAATAGATCAATTAGTAAATAGAAAATGTCAAATTTAAAAAATTGTCTTTTATGTCGTACTGACGACTATTTCAAACAATCATAGTCTCTTCTGTACTTTAAAAACGTACCTACTCTTTATTAATCTTTGTCTACTTACTTTATTTAAAGCCATATCGATAAACACATATCAATAAACACATGAAATTCACCAGGGTAGAGTTCCAATTCATTCGTTGTTAAATTATTTTGAAAAATGGTTGTCTGTTTAAGCGAAAAACAGATGATTGAAATTTTATTTATGATTGGATGTGGAGATAAAATCCTAAGTCAACAGGAGGAATGTGACTTACTTCACCATGAGTATCCAGACCAGAGAATTAGACGAGCTACAATAAGTAAAGTATTCAAAAAGTTTGAAGGAACCGGAAGTATAAAAGATTTAAAATGACCGTCAAAATACAGGGTGTTTCAGGATTAAGTCGACAAACTTTAAGGAGATATTCCTCATAAAAAAAATAAGAAAAAAAATCAAGTATACATTTTTTTCCAGAGACGCTTCATTTTCGAAATATTGGGCGTTAAAGATTTATAAAAAAATTCGAATTTTTTAAATAACTTCTAAATAAAGAAGTCTATTTAAGCCACATTTAGCATGACACATCCTCTTATAAGATACCATTTTTCCATAAAAGTAGAAGTCTCCCAAGCAACCAGTGGCGGAGTTATGGGGACTCAGACTCATTAAATTATAAAAAAAAATAATACGGCCCTACTGAAAATAAAAAATGATGCTGTTTTTAGATGGAACAGTTTGTTATTGACAAAAAGTGTACATTCACTTTTTTTCCTAACTCTTATAGTTCATGGCAAAATAGATTTTTCGGAAGGGTGCTTCTGGATTCTGTCGATAAACTTTAGGAAGACGTTCCTCATAAAACCTAAAAAAATATAGTACCTATTAAAATTGGTCTTAGTCGCGGGTATGTGTGAGTGAAATAAGCCTTTTTGTCTCCCCTTCGCTTGGGTTTAACCAATAGTATTAAAATTATTTAGGAGATGCTTCGTTTTTGAGATATAGGGTTTTTTTTAGAAAAAAAAAATGATGTTGATGAAAAAATAGAAATATTTAAGTATCCAACATCTATTGTAAATAAGTCGTAATGCGACAACGTAACGAACCTTGCAATACTCCTAATTTTTTTCAGGCGGCTTGTAGTCACTTCATTTACTCGTGTTGTGTACTATTAAATAAATTAAGATGGCAAACAATTTATGAAAATTTATTTGTAAATTGTAACAACCAAAAAATTATCAATTAATATTATACCTAGACAAAGCGAAAAGTGAATAAAAAATAAAATGATTTAAAAAATATTTTGTTCAAAATGGGCGCCTCCGGACAATAGACAAGCACGACATCTTCTAATTATGGAAGTAGTGGCCGATCGACACTGAATTGGAGTTAATTCTCAACACGCTTGGACTATTCGCTGTTTTAGATCTTCTAGGGTATCAACTGGCACCTCGTAGACTTTTTGTTTAACAGCACCCCAAACGAAATAATCCATCGGTGTCAAGTCCGGTGAACGTGCGGGACACGCTGCAGGTCCTCCACGACCAATCCATCTCCTGGGATAATTAATGTTTAACCAAAATGGGAGGACAACTAGTTGAAACCAACTGTTCATTCGAGTATTAAGCGGAACATCTTCTAACAGATCTTGAAAACTATTTTTAAAGAACTCGGTAAACATGTCAGCATTTAACCGATGAGGAAGTAGGGATCAAGTATAGTTTGTCCAACACACCCAACCATACGTTACATTGGAATTCGTGTTGAAATCTATGTTCCCTTACCGCCCGTGGATTCTCGTAAGACCAAATATGGTTGTTCCTTTGGTTTAAAATTCCCCTTCGAGTAAATGTTGTCTCATCTGTCCATATTACTTTTTGCGTAAACTGATCATCATTCTCTGCTTGGTTTAACATCCAGTCACAAAACACGCGCCTGCATCGTATGTCCTGAGGCAATAAATGTTGCACACGCTGGATATGGTACGCATGGCGTCCATCAGCCCGAAGAGTCCTCCAAATGGAACTTGACGAAATACCTAGCTCATAGCTAGATCTTCTGACACTCATGGATGGATCCTGAAGTGGGGCAAAATATCCATCAGCATAAGTTGGAATACCGAAAGACCCAGTTTGTCCGAGACGACTGAATGTCGTTGAAAATGTTTCCTTTGCTGGTAGTCTGCAATGAGGAAATCTTACTGCATATTCACGACGAGCAGCCGTGGCAATTCCATCACAAAAACCATATACAAAGAAAATATGGACGGCATTATTAAACTTATTTTTATTATTAGTTTGAACGCTTTATCTAATGGATAATTTATGCAACTATTCGCAAAATAACGTCAAATTAACATTGCTTGACTGCAGCCTACTCGAAAATTTTTGTTGAGGTCCATTTTAAAGCTCCAGACAGAATCCAGAAGCACCCTTCCGAAAAATCAATTTTGCCATGAAACTATAAGAGTTAGTAAACAAAGTGAATGTACAGTTTTTGTCAATAACAAACTGTTCTATCTAAAAACAGCATCATTTTTTATTTTCGGTGGGGCCGTATTAATTTTTTTTATAATTTAACGAGTCCCCATAACTCCGCCACTGGTTGCTTGCGGGACTTCTACTTCTATGGAAAAATGGTATCTTATAAAAAGTTGTGTCATGCCAAATTTGGCTAAAATAACCTTCTACATTTAGAAGTTATAAAAAAAATTCGAATTTTTTAAAAAATCTTTAACGCCCTATATTTCGAAAATAAAGCGTCTCTGGAAAAAAAATTCTACTTGATTTTTTTCTTATGAGGAATATCTCCTTAAAGTTTGTCGACTTAATCCTGAAACACCCTGTATAATGCTCGCCGTTACTGAAAATTCTCACTCATCCATTAGATTTATATCAGTCATCTTCAACTTGTCGAAGTCCTCAGTTCACCGAACTCTGAAGTCTCAAAAGTGGCATCCTTACAAAGTTACCGTCTTACAAGAATTATGGGCAGATGAGACAGAGAGAAGATTACAGTTTGCGAAGAAATTAGAAATTTATTTGAAAGACAACCAAACTTAGAAAATCACATAATTTTCACTGACAAAATACTAGGTTTTGGAGCCCAGAAAATCCGCAATGGATGCAAGAAAAACATACACAACGGCCGGAAGAGGTGAATGTTTGGGCTGGAATAGTAGGAAATCACATACTGGGATCTTATTTCTCTGACGGGAATTTGACAAGCGATATTTATTTGGATTTTTTGCGTTTTCTAACCCTAATAAGCACGATTTGCCTGCTGGTGATGTCTGGTTCCAACAAGATACTGCCCCTCCTAATTTTCGCCTCGATGTAAGAAATTCCCTTAATGAAATTTTTCCAAATCGGAGGATAGGCAGAAGAGGACCGTTTGAATGGTCACCACGCTTCCCTGACTTAACCCGACTAGATTTTTTTTGTGGAGTTATCTAAAAAGCAAAATGTTTGTGAACAGACCAGACACTATCGAAAGATTGAAAAATCGTATCAGAGAAGAAGTTCGAAACATAACACCAAATGTTATTCGAAATGTAATTGATAACTTTGAACACCGAATAGGGCATTCTGCAATGGTTAATGAGGGTCACTTTGAACATTTGCTGTAATAAAATAAAAAGTAGGACTTAATTATTGTTTTCATTTAATTCCTCCATTTTTTGACGACTATGACAAAAAAGTAGGTATAACCTTATATCGCAGAATTAATTCATCTATAAAAGCGCTAGCTATTTATACTAAAAAAAATTTCGGTAATGTTATAGGTCTGTCAAACATGGTTAAAAAAAATAGAAAATATTGCAGAAAAGTGAGAATTTGTATTTACTAATTGACCTGTTTCAGAATTTTTTTTAATTTTAAGTGGAACAAAATATAAATTTTGTTCCATCACTTTGGGACACAGAGTATATTACAGTTATAGTTCATGCTTTGTGGTTACAGTAAGCAGAAACGCCACACGTCAAAGACAGTTTCCAGTAAGAATGCTAGATATAAACTATAAATGCAATAGCATTGATTTTACAAAGGAAAAGTTAACTGTAGTTTTTTCAGAAACTTCTCTTTTTTTGGAAAGCCTTGTTGATCAACTGAAAAATGATTCTTTCGCGGTTATTTCTATAAAAAATGGAACTTTTCAACTTATATCTCTCTTAAATATTTTTGCATCTTTGTTCATTCAAATGTCAAAATTAAACTGTCATGTACCATGCAATTGTCACAACATGCAATAAAGTACAAAAACAATTTATTGTTATAGTTTAGAGATTAGTGTTTAGTTTTGTTGTAAAACAGAAAATTTTGCGCGCACTACTTGAAAATCACGAAAAAACTTCTTTTCTATTCCTTTGTGTTGTGATTTCTACACAGTGGCAGCACTTTTTTCTAGATGTGCTCATGCGCAGAGGAAATATACAAACTAGTTTCTGCATTCTACTATGACCACAAATAGTATTTGTAGTACTGTTAATTTAGTAATTTAAATTAGATTAAGTTTAATATCTTCTGTGTTACAACAGAGCTAAATACTATTCTTTAAACTGTGTCATTATTTATTTATTCTTATTTTGTACTTTATTGCAAGTTGTAGCAATATAAATTTGATATTTGAATAAACAATAACACAAAAATATTGAAAAGGAACAGTCAGTAATAGAAGCTAAAAAGAGTTAGACTTG